TTCATTGTCCCAAGTTCATTTACTAAAAATGCCCGCGGCACTTTTTGCAATTAATTGGTACCCGATGTAACAGGGTCAGAATAAACATTGTAAAATCAATTTATCAAAGTCATTATATAGGAGTGATATTTCTGCTAAAATTAAGTCTAATTAGCAGTATTTTGGCATTACATCATTGATTTATGTAACAAAAAATATAAAGATACAAAATGTTGAATCACAAAAATAATTAAGCGCTAATAGCCCGGTCAATTTAAACCTAAAATCAGGGTGAAGGTTAGCATAATTCATAATGGACTGTAACTTGGTAAAACTGTTTAAAATACAATTATAAAAGGAATCTCAAAAGTCTCATCGATCCAATGCAAACTAAAAAAATTGCACAAGGTCAAAGGTAAAAAAAACTTTTTTGCAATTTTTAGCTTAATGGTCAATTTTATCGCAAAATTACCTGAGAACAGTATTGTAGAGCATAAAATTATCTACGAAAACTGCATGTATTTTTTTTGCTCAGAGCCACCGTTTTATAGATATATCACTTTGAAACGTATGTTTAAAACACCACAGCACAGTAGCTTAGGTTGTTGCTTAGCTCGTTTTTTTTACGTGGTTTTCCCAGCAGGCTCATTTCACAAGTTGGTTGTGATTTTGTTTGGAACACTTGCAAAATAATATTTTTGAATTGGGTTGGTAAAATAAAGAAAGGGGTAATAATAAAAAAGCAACTAAACTTATTCCTTGGAGTCATAATTTTCAAATGTTTATACATCTTTTTGTTATCGTTTTTCTTCATCATCTTCTTCTTCTTTTTCTTCTTCTTTACTGTTAGTATAAACTTGTCCTGGTTTAAAAAAATAATTTGTTCAGTTGGAGTAGAGAGTAACAGATAAATTATTTTTCTTAGTAGAACGATCGAATGCATATTTTGTCAGAATAATAGAAATCAAAATTATAGAGTTGAATTTTGAAAAAATCTAATCTATGACATGAGGTTTCATGTGATAGATCGGTTTTGTTAGAAAAAGTATCATCCAATCCACTAACAAAAAGTAAAAATTGAATCTTTTTGATTGTTTATCAATACAAAGGGATAAAAGTATCATTTAATAGAAATAGCTTCAAATAAGATATAAACTTTGTGGCGTCCATTAATCACATGATCGATTTTTTAAGGATTTTTGAATCCCTTCTTCTTTCAAGATACGTGGTGATATTCTAAATTACCCCCCTTCCCCACCAAACATTTACGTGTACTTTTAGTTACAAAAAAAATGCATTTTTTTTAAATTTTTTGAAAATGTTTGGATAT